GAATTGATGCTAATCAGCAGTGTCTACCATAGTAAGAAAGGAGCTCTGATAGCATAGTGGTTACAAGTTGGGCTGCTAACCTCAAGGTCAGCAGTTCGAAACTACCAGCTGTCCTGCAGGAAAAGATGAGGCTTTCTGCTTTAGTAAAGATTTACAGCCTTGGAAACCTTGTGCAGGGTTGCTATGAGTCGGAACCAACTCCATGGCACATAACCAACAAACCAATTAACCATAGCAAAAAATAATTAAGAGAACGGCTCACTGGATTATGATAGGAAAGATAATATACGCATATAAAGAATATCTCTTCCAAAATATTGGTGGTATAAAAGGCAAATTGCTAAATCATGTGAAAGTATGATGCTGTTTATGTAAAAAAATGAAAAGAAAAAAAAAAAGCCTAACATATACAAGTAGATTATGTATTAACTGTAAATACATCTTTGTTATTGTTAAGTGCTGTTGAGTCAGTTCCTACGCATAGTGACCCTGTATAGGATTTCCAAGGAGTGGCTGGTTTGGAACTACCCACCTTGTGGTTAGCAGTCAAGCACTTACATAGTATCACAATGTTAGCAGTGGGTATCTCTGGAGAGGAATGTGGGATGCTGTGGCAATATAGAGGCTATTTTATTTTATAGTCTATAAACCATGTGTAATCATGATTATAATTGAAAACATTTTAATGAAATCACTGAAATGAGGAAAAAGTTCAATGCCCAGATTCTAAAATGGCATAAATCATTTCTGTATCTTGCTTTGTTGTTATTTGAGACTATGACTGGTGAAAACAACCTGACACAAATTTCTCTTCCCAATTTAGTGTTCGCACAATTTTTCCTGCTGAAACTCTGGACAAGGCAACTTTTTTGAACAGGGGCTTCAAAATGTTAATGGAAAAACTCCATTATCTTTTAATTCCACATTTCCAAGAACTTTTGAAGCTACCGCATATGTGTCAATAGTTCAAGTACATAATGCTCTAATCCCATGTGGTTTAAATGCCTTTATAATTAAAAAATATTGGAAGCATGCAAACATATAATTATGACAAGGTAGATTTATTTTTGTTTATAAAATAAAAACGATAAAAAAAATTTATGCCTCCTGTTTATTTCTCCTCAACCCAATTTTCTGTTCTCAGTTCCTATATATCAAAACCTGTGTATTTTATTTTTCTACACACAATACTTGTACCATTTTATTTAATTGGCATAATATGCAGTCAAGAACTATGCTAAGCACTTTACGTGCTTCTAGACTACGAGTTTTGGAGTCAGAATGCTGGACTTAAATCCTGACTCTATAATTTATAAGATGTAATCTTCCAATAGTTGCTGTTTACCAATGCTTAATCCTCCTTATCTATACTTTGTACATCTGTAAGTGTAATTATTGAAGCTTTCGGGTCACAATGAGTTAGACTTGAAGCAATGACAATGTGTTTGGTCCAGTGTGTTTTATAAACTAGGGAAAGCTGCTAAAGAATGTCTATTAATTATCTCCACCACTTGTCTTTGTTTGTCGTACTGTGGTGATGTACTTGTTGCTTTGATGACTGCCTCTAGGCCACCAGTATTTGAAATGCCAGCATTGTATAGCCATGGTAGACAGGTTTCAGCTGTGCTTGTAGTCTAAAGCAGACTAGGAAGAAGAGGCTGACTTCTTTTAAATATTTAGCCAGTGAAAACTTTATGTATAGCTGAGGAACACTGTCAGCACCAGAATATTGAAACATGATGAACAGCATCAGAATGTTGTCAGATATAGTGCAAGAAGATGAGCACTTCAGATTGGAACTCAAATTACGACTGAGAAAGAGTTGCCTCCTCAAACTAGAGTCAACTGTAACAACATGAATGGATTAACGCTTCTGGGAAAATTATTGGCTGATGGGGCACAACTCGAGGAGAAATAGCTGTTATCATCAATTAATAATCAGAAAATTGAATGTATGAAGTACGAATCTAAGAAAATTGAATGTTGTCAAAAATGAAATGGAATACATTAAGATTGATATCCTAGGCATTAGTGAGCTGAAATGGATGGGTATTGGTAATTTTGAATTTGACAATCATGTAGCTTACTATAACAGGAATGACAAATTGAAGAGGAATGGCATCACTTTCATCATCAAAAAGTACATTTCCATATCTGTCTTGAAGTATAATGCTATGCATGGTAGGATAATATCCATAGGCCTATGAGGAAGACCACTTAATAACAGTATTATTCAAATTTACACAACAATCACTAAGGTCAGTGATGATGAAACTGAAGAATTCTACCAACTTCTTCAGTCTGAAATTGATCAAGCATGCAATCAAGAGGCAATGGTAATTACTGTTGATTAGAACGCAAAGGTTGGAAACAAACAGGAAGGATCAGCATTTAGAAAACACAGCCTTGGTGATAGAAACGATACTGAAACGTGATAGAATTTTGCAAGACCAATGACTTATTCATTGACACAATATCACGGATATCACATGCAAGTAAAGATTTGCTAAAGATAACTGAAAAATGGCTGCAATAGTACATTAGCAGGGAATTGCCAGAGGTTCAAGCTGGATTCAGATGAGGATATGAAATGAGGAATAGCATTGCTGACATCAAATGGATCTTAGCTAACTCAAAGAACAACAGCAAGATGTTTGCCTGTATTTTATTGACTGTGAAAAGGCTTTCATCTGTGTGGACCATGACGAACTATGGACAACATCGTGGAGATGAGTATTTCGGAACACTTCATTGTGCTCATGAGGATCCTGTACATAGATCAAGAGGCAGTCGTTTGAACAGAACATAGAAACACTGACTGGTTTAAAATCAGAAAAGATGTATACCAGGGTTGTATTCTTTCACCATGCTTATTCATTCTGTACACTGAGCTAATAATACAAGTAGCAGTGTTTTATGTGGAAGAACGTGGCATCAGGATTAGAGGGAGACTCATTAACAACCTGCCATATGCAGATGATATAACCTTGCTTGCTGAAGGCAAGGATGACTTAAAATACTTACTGCTGAAGATCAAAGACCACAACCTTCAGCATGGGTCGTACTTCAATGTAAAGAAAACAAAAATCCTCATCAATGGACCAATAAATACATGATAAATGGAGTAAAGATTAAAGTTGTCAAAGACTTTATTTTGCTTAGATCCACTGTTAATGCTCATGGAAGAAGCAGTCAAGAAATCCAACAACATAATACATTAGGCAAACCTGCTGCACAAGAGCTCTTTAATGTGTTGAAGAGCAAAGATGTCAGCTTGAGGATTAAGGTGCACCTGACCCAAGCCATGGTATTTTCAATAGCTTGATATGCAGGTGGAAGTTGGACAGTGAATAAAGAAGTGATGCATTTCAGTTATGGTGTTATAGAAGAAGCATAAAAATATCATGAATTGCCAGAAGAATAAACAAATTTGTATTGAAGAAGTATAGCCAGAATATTCCTTAGAACCCTGGATAACAAGACTTTGGCTCTCATACTTCTGACACAGTATCAGAAGTGACCAGCCCCTGGAGAAGGATATCATGCTTCATAAAGTGAAAGGCCAGTGAAAAAGAGGAAGACCCCCAATGAGATGGACTGGCATAGTGGCAGCAGCAATGGGCTCAAGCTTAACAATTGTAAGGATAGTCTGTACTGGGCAGCATTTCATTCTGTTGTGCATGAGGTCTCTATGAGCTGGAACCAACTCGAGAGCACCTCACAACATGACTTATCTGGTTACTGGCTGATAAAGATGTGCTCATCATCCTGGTTGACATTTACTACATTAAAAAACAAAACAAAACAAAAAAACAGCACCCCAAATATGCAGTTTCCTTTTATTTAACAGGAGAAAAATCAACACATTTTCCAAAGAGGCAGATGTCCCAGTAGCTTTAATAAAAACCAATTTAACTTCAAAATCAGCTTGTCTGACCCACAAGCTCTTAGAGAAAGTGAACAATCAAATTTTGAAAGTAAGAACAAAATACCAAAATAAGCTCTACACCCAGAACAGATATATTAAGCCAACAGATTAGGAACTGTTTTCCTTAAGTGTCAGGTTTAATTCAAATATATTATTTAGACTATTAGCATATGAACTATATAACAACTTTATAATTTTACTTGAATTAAAACCAGGATTTCTGGAATTTTCAGATAGTCTTTAAAATTTTCCAATATGGACATAAACTATGCCCTATTCTTCACTACGTATTGTCACAATATATCCATTTTCACAGGAAGATTTTTAAGGCTCTGGCACTTAGTATAGTATAATATCTGTGTGACAATAATGTCATAATTATATACAGAAAACATTTAACATTTTCCTTGTGCAATACAAGGTCTAAAGATTGAAAAACAAAATGTCCCATGTTAATGAAATATTAAAAGACTATGAGCATCCCATGAATCTGACAGTGATTTGGTAATTACTTAAAGAACATACAAATAACATTTTGCACACTAAGTGATTTATCATTAAAAATAACTATTGAACTGAATACACTTATTTGATATTACTAATATTCTAGATCATTCTTTCAGTACAAAATGGACTTTATTATATCTTAGAAATGTTTCCAATTAAATAGTAACATTGAGGCAAAAAATGTTTTGAGTAATTTGTGTGTCAAACAATCATCATAAATCTATGAATCTTAATTTACTCTGCTAAATCACCAATATAGAATATGCTTCAGTAGGTAAATGAAATCAACACAAGGTGATTATTTTTTACTTCAAAAAGGAAAGTCATTTACACCTTGTCTTAGATGCGAAAGCAGCATATTCAGCTCTTAAGGCAAAAAAGGACCACAAAAAATTATAAATTATAAATTCTCATTCTTTTGGCATTAAAACCATAGAGAAAACTTTTATACTTTAATAGATAATATATTAGAATACATCTGAATATACATTTGCAAACATTCTTCATGAGTATGAAGCTGGTCTGTGAAGTGGAGGTGCTGAAGTACAGTACTGAAGGGTAACTTTTAATAGTCGTCCTGAGTATCAGCAGGTGTGGAATGGCTGTCTCTTGGTCTTCCATTCACAGATATTGTATATGAGGAAACAGTCACCTATGGGAAAATAAATAAATAAATAAACAAACACACTTTTTATCCACCAATTTAAAATGGGATAGCTGTCCAATTTTCAACAATGACATCTTAAGTTTTGCTTAGCTGAAAAGGCTAACACTTACTATTTATTGTTCAATAAATGATAAATCATCAAGAATAAATATTCACTCTACCATGAAATTAAAAATGAGAGTTGTTATTTCCACAACAAACAAGTTAAATAATCCATTAACACATCATAGTCTTTACAAAATTACCAAATCAACACAGAGGATGAGAGCACAAACAGACTGCAGGACAAGCTGTTAAAGAGCAATTTTAGCTAGATTAATTCTGACTCCCTGAATTCATTCTCCCTTGGCGAACACAGAACAATAAATTCCAGAAATGAATGAGCTTTACAGTTTTTGTTCTTATGATATATATTAACTTGAAACTTCCCTCTCAGTGACCTCTTATTTATTAAGAAAAGAAACAGCCTCTGTTTTAAAAAATACTTTCCTATGGATGACTTAAAGATCAAATCCATGACTGCTGAATAGCGCCATTTGAATGGCGTCATGAAAACACCAGTGCCCTTGGGTTCATTAGGAGTCATAGTGATCCTAAAGGACAGAGCAGAACATCCCCATAGATTTCCAAGGAAGTAACCTTTATGGGAGCATACTGCCACATGTTTCTCCTATGGAGCAACTAGTGGGTTCGAACTGCCAACCTTTTGGAACTACCAGTGGAGCGCTTTAACTATTACACCAACAGGATGTTTTTTGTTGTTTGTTTTCAGTAATGAATGTCTAAGTTTCAAAATTCAATAGTAAAGTCCTTTATTTGCAAAGAAACTAAGTTGATTGAAAAGCATTAGAACAAGAGATTCCTCAATAGAAAACTGCTTTACAAGAGTGTAAAATTGGATTTTGAATACTAAAAAACTATAATATTGCTAATATCATATATAAAACATAATATACTATGTAGTTGTATATTATATATTGCATGCAATATATTATTTACATATGTATTATACATAAAAAACAAAGGTATGTTAAAAACAAGTTTTATCTGTAGATAATTGCCTAGTTTAGAATAATGTTACATATATGTGTTTAAATCATGTAGAAAGTCACACAGCAATCCATTAACAGTGGATATCTCTGGGTAAAATGATAATCTGATATTTAAAAATCAGATTAAACTTTTAAACACAAGACATAATAAGAATACTATTTAATAAACTCTGTGAGGTCAGTATCTATTTAATCTGTTATAAAGCCACTGTCTATCCACAAGGAGTTCTGGTGGTAGAGTTGGTTACACACTGGGCTGCTACCCTCAAGGTCAGAAGTCTGAAGGTACCAGGCACTCCTCAGGAGAAAGATGGGGCTGTGTGCTCTCCTACAGACCTATAGTGTCCGAAATCGTAGGGAGTTCTACTTTGTCCTATTGGGCTGCTATTAGTTGGAAATGACTCTATGACAGTGGGCTTGGGTGTTGTTGTTGTGTTGTTAAGTGCCATAGTCAATTCTGACCCATAGCGACCCTGTATACAATTTCTGATGAACAGCTGGTGAGTTTGAACTGCCAACCTTGAGGTTCAGCTGATTTTGCAGTCTCCACAGTGCCACACCAGGACTCTGTGGGCTTGGATTGTTGTTGTTGTTAAGTACCGTGGAATTGGTTCCAACCCATAGTGACCTCACAGGGTTTCTGAGGCTGTAAATCTTTATGGGAGCAGAAAGCCTCATCTTTCTCCCTGGAACTGCCAGTAGTTTCAAACTGCCGACTTTGAGGTTAGCAGCTGGATTCATAACCACTATGCAATCAGAGCTCCTTGTGGGCTTGGATAGTGGAGTTTATATCCACATTAGACTCATCTCTTTTCATGTCTGACACTATGTAGTGCTCAATGAATATTTGTTGAATGAAGTATAAACAGAATATGTTGAATGGAATATTTATAAATTTAAAAAATATTTTAAACAAAGAATATGCTACACTTAGACTTAGGATCCCTGGTAGTGTAGTGGATTACTCATAGGGCTGCTAACCACAGGTCAGTAGTTCAAATTCCTCAGCCTTTCTGTGGGAGAAGAATGAGGCTTTCTGCTCTCGTAAAGATTTACAGTCTTGGAAACTTTACAGAGTAGGAACCAATTCAACTGCACATAGAAGCAACAGCATAATAAAGTCTATTTTAAAAATGGCATTTAAGAATTACTGACGTGAACAACTAAAAGGCAGACACCATAAGCAGCTTTGGTTGATCAAATTCATATCAAGTAAATATGAAAGAAAAAAAGCAGATAAATTAAACAAAACAACTGAGCAGGAGTCTGGGTGACTTACCCAGTTATGTTCCCTCCAAGATTCTATCTAGCCAAAGATTAGTCTTATGTTCTGAAGAAACATGTAACACCAAGTGCTAAATAACCTATTCGTTTATTTCCAGAATTCCTTTTTTTTTTTTTAAACCATCTATATTCTATTTGTAACAAGAAAATAGCCAGATTTTTAGCAGTTCAAGCACCATCAAGTACCAAAAACAATCAAAGAAGTTTTGTGTCAGCACAGATTCAACAATAATCGAGTCAATAATTTGTGGGTTTTTTTGTGTGTGTTAATAATTTGATGACTCCTATATAAATCTTATCTTTCTTACTAGCTATACGATTAGCCTTGGTGATCAGACTGGGTGTCAAGTGGGAATAGGGAGTGGAAAAACTTAAGAAACATGAAAAAATATCTCATGCCCATAACTACATTTACACTAGAATAACCAACTAGATAATTGTTCTAATGAGAGCCAACCATTATAATGATGGGTAATTGCTTTAGTATGAACCACAGCCATAAGGCAGGTTGATACCTGGAGTTAAATTGAACACTTGAGTGCCAAGATATAGGCAAGCAAGGAGCCAATTTTCTGATGAGCAAATTAAACCTACTGTGAAATCACTGGAGATTATATTTGGCAATATAATTATTGTTCTACAAGATAATTTTCAGAATTTAAAAACAAACCAGAAGAATTGGTCAGTACAAGACAGAAATAAGGGACTTAATCAAAGATCAGAAGAAATAAGAGCCTGTTTATATCCATTTTTCATTTTGTAACCTTTCTCCATTTACAAAACATTGTACAGAAAACCCACTAAATTAATTACAAAGGATTGCAATTGGTTTTTGTGTAGTTACTTGATTCTACTGTGGACCTAATGTTATTGTTGTTGTTGTTAGGTGCCATTAAGTCGGTACCGACCCATAGTGACCTTATGCACAGCAGAACGAACACCTGCCCGATCTTGGGCCAATCTCACTACTGTTGCCACGCTTGAGGCTGTGAATGGCCAGAAGCAGAAGCTTCATTCTATTTATTTTTGTGCCCCCAGTATCTATGCTTGGAACTTACACACTCAAAAAGATGCTTGTCAAATTTCTTGAAATGAAAAAAGTGGCGACTGATTTGAAACTCATCCACAGGTTACAAAATTAGAAACAAAAAATGTACTTAAGTAAGAATGTGCAATTGATTAATGTGGGCATATTTCTCCATAAAACCATAAATTTGGCATGACCCATGAAATATCAATTTCAATGCTCAAAAGCCAAATTTGTATGCTATCTAGCACGTAGGTTCAGACTGCAAATCTACAAAATTTACACCTAATCCCGAATCCTTCCTTCTTGTGTCTTCCTCTCTAAGCAGCAGCTGATTTTATTTATTTTTGCCTTTCCTCAGTGTTTGCCCAGATGGGAGTGCAAAGTCCTCTCTGAGAAGCACGACCTCTATGCGTCATTCCACATACACGCACCAGGAACCTGGCTTGAGTTGTCAGATCTGTCCCAGAGTGCCTTTTACTTTTTCACCCTTTTTGCAGAATTCCTGTTCCTTTACAGATTTAATTTCTGTTGCACACAATGTTCTTAATTTCTGTCAAGCTCAATGTGTTTTGTTTAACAAATATCTCACTCTTTTCTAAATAGTTTTCTAAAATGATTAGAGATGGAAACCCCAAAATTAAATGCCTAAGGAGTCAGTGAAATACTGATTTCTTTTCTTGGGTGTTTAGGTACGTCAAACCAGGGAGGAATGAGGAGAGGAGGAGAAAGACGCTTAGGGGAGAAACAGCCTTTGGGAAATCTACATGATGATGCCAGGTGCAAAGCTTCACCACATCATGTTCAGTGGATGAGGGAATGGAGAGGAAACTGGCCTGCAAATAATCCCTGGGACAGGTCTTTGGCATTTGCTTTGAGGAGAAACATATCCTCTCTCCAGATCCTTTCCTACAATTTCTCCTAAGAATCTAGAGGACTTTGACAGAGCATTATCAAGACTTGAACTTCTTCATTGAGCCTTATCTAAATTATCTAGATTTCCCCTCCTTTTTGTTTTTTATAAATTTACAACATCGCCCCCCTCAAAAAAAAATCCACATATGATAATAACTGATAACTACATGGAGCCCTGGGGGCACAGTGGTTAAATGCTAGGCTGCTAACCAAAAGGTCGGTTATTTGAACCCAGCAGCTGCTCTGTGGGAGAAGGATGTAGCAGTCTACTTCTGTAAAGATTGTTGTTAAGCGTCGTTGAGTTAGTTTGAACCCATAGCGATCCTGTATAAAGTTTCTGAGGAGTGGCTGGTGAGTTTGAACTGCTGACCTTGCAATCTAGCAAATGAACCCACAGTTCCACACCAAAACTCTCTGTAAAGACTACAGCCTTGGAATCTCTATGGGGCAGTTCTACTCTGTCCTACAGGTGGATTATGGTCAGAATTGACTAAACAGCAAGGAATTGGTTTTTGATTACCATAGAAGCTATGATTGAAACTTATGGGTTCCTATCCTAAGTGCATCTTTTCTAGAATAGCAAGCCATTTTCTTAAGTTCTTTATGTTGTGTTAACACAATTAAAGGGCCAGGGCTCTTTCTATATATATATGTTGTTGTTACTAGTGTTGTCAAATCAGTTCCAACTGATAGTGACCCTGTATAGGGTTTCCAAGGTTGTACATCTTTACAGAATTGATGCTTTTGAGTTATGGTGTTTGAGTTGTGGTGTTGGAGGAGAATATTGAAAGTGCCATGGGCTGCCAAAAGAACTAATAGATCCCTTTTGGAAGAAGCGCAGCCAGAGTGCTCATTGAAGGCCAGAATGGTCAAACTCTGTCTCTCATATTTCAGACATATTGTCAGAAGGGACCAGTCGCTGGAGAAGGATATCATGTTTGGTAAGGTGGAGGGTCAGAGAAAAAAAGGAAGACCGCCAATGTGACGAATTCGCCAAGTGGCAGCATCGATGGACTCAAGCATGGCAACAGTAGTGAGGTTGACCCAGGATCAGGCAGTGTTTCTTTCTGCTGTGCATAACGTCGTTATGGGTTGGTACCGACTCGATGGCACCTAACAACAACAACATCTTTGCAAGAGCAGAACACCTTGGAGCAGAATGCCTTATCTTTCTCCCACAGAGCAGCTCAAGGGCTTGAACCACTGACCTTGTGGTTTGCAGTCCAGTGTTTATCCTACATAATCACCAAGCTCTTCTTTGTATATTGTTGTTGGTATGTGTCTCTGAGTCGGTTCCAACTCATAGAAACCCTGTATAAAGTTTCCAAGGAACGGCTGGTGGGTCTGACCTTGGGATTGCAGTCTAGTACTTGTCTAATAATGCCATGCCAGGACTCCTTTCTATATATAGTTATATATATAATAATGAACAAAATCCATGTTCTGCATCTGGCCTATGTTTCGGACATTGTTTTAAGTATGTGTAAGGTTCTGGACTCTTTCAGCTTATACTTCAGAAAGATCTGAACATGAAGGAATAACTAGCATTTACCCTATTCAGAATTAAATACCAGAGAAACATTTCCCCTAAAGTACTAGTTTGACAATGTTGAAAATAAACCCGCTATTACCCACCTGAGAAAGAAAACTTACCCTTTTCAACTTGGCAGCAGCCTCTCCAGAACGGATTGCAGTCAGCAAACTCTGTCGGATCTGTTCTGGGTCAGAGCTTTGGAATGTTAAAGAACTTTGTCTCTTTACGGTGAATGATGAGCAGTCAATGGGAGACGGTATTTGGGAATTCTGTTCATTATCCATAGAATTATTTTCCTACAAAAATAAATGCAAAATATTTAGATGAACACCAAGAGAAGAGTGGGCTATTTATGGGGGGAAAATCATCATCAATATTTCTTTAAAAATCCCCATTTTCCACACTGGTGTTACAAATATGGTTTTAAGCCCAAACCCAAAATACATTATTGATTTGTGAAAAATAATACTAGATCTACATTTTAAAGGCAATTTGTACAGAACATTTTCTTTCTATTTTGTTTAAAAGGAAAATGCAAAATTGGTAATAACAAAATGATGCTATACCATTCTTTAATTTGCATATACTTTCAGCAATAGCAGGTCCTCAAATACACCATTTCCACAATTTTCAGAAGATGTATACCAGAATTTTTTTTTTTTTTTTTTGCAGCAAGAGAAATGTTATAATCCCCTGTTGCTTCCTAAGGGGCCTTCAGATGATGGGCACTTCTGCCAAGGATGATAGCATAGAGGTGCAGAGTTGCAGAAACAGAGAGAGCGACTCTACTGAATGCAAAGGGATTGGAAGGAGTTCCAGAAAGGAGTGAGAATGGCAGTAGTCAAGACTTGGGAACCTAGAAGAAGCTGCGTGATCAATGGTCAAGATGTTTTCCAAAACATTTTGGTTTTGTTTTGTACTTAACTTTTGTTGGGTGATACGCAGGTTATCTCGTCTATGTCCCCCCATTACTTGTAATTGTTGGAAGCAGAATGTGCTTCTTGAGGATTTCTCTCTCCCCAGTTGTTGTTAAGTGCTGTCGAGTCAGTTCCGACTCACAGAGACCCTGTATAGGGTTTCTGAGGAGCAACTAGTGAGCTTGAATCACCAACCTTGATGTTCAAACCAACCTTGCAGTCTAGTGCATTAACCCGCAGCCCCACACCAGGACTCTACCTTATATTCCTTTATTTACTGAGTACCAATAAGGTCCCAGAAATTTCTTTTAGGAACAAGGAGTATAGCACTGAACAAGAGATAAGATTCCTGTGCTTACGGACCTTACTGTCTAGTGCATATGACAAAGTACTAAATCCTATTTTGTTATGGATATTGGGATGAGAACAAAAACTGTCTTTGAAGACCAGTCAAATCTGGGTTCCCACAGGGACATGACAAGACCCAAGGAGCTAGATCAAGATTAAGGACTCAGGAAAACAGAGAGCTCTTAGCACAAGTTGGTGGGGATGGGGTGGAGGCTAGTGGGTGTGGGGGAAAGGGGACTGAAGTAAAGACAAATTTAGCCAGGAGCTCATTAAGTTTGAAATCAGGGGCAACCCTTAAAGAAAATAGAGGATGGCACCACCTCCTCTCTCCTCATTTCTCATTCCTCATCTCCTATCTGCACACTGCTTGTCAACAGCTCTGTTTCGTCAGTTACAAAATAGCCTTTGCTGACAGAGTAAGATTGTAGGGTGAGGATATTACCTTCCTTTGGGCACAGAAAGCTAAGGGATAAAAGTACTATCTTTATGTTACACGAATGCAGAGGGAATTTTGTGCAGAGGGAATTTTGCTGAGTTTGAGTTAAGTAATTCTGATCTTTCCTATATATGGAGTTTCTAGAACTACCAAATGAATACTCAAGTAATTCCACAAATAAATCAATCCAGTTTCCTGATCCCAATATATTAACTTATAAAATTGCTATTTTGAAGTACAAATGATTAAATATTATCAATTTCATATTGGTTGGCTATAATACATTTTCTTGTAAAAGAAAACTCAAATACTAGGATCAGCACTGGACTGTGAACCACAAGGTTTCCAGTTCAAACCTAAAAGCTGCTCCTTGAAAACTCTGTACAGGGTCACTATGAGTTGGAACCGACTTGACAGCAACATAGCATATGAAATAGCTTATTTTGCGTTTATGAAGTGACAAGGTCTACGTACTAACCATGTTTTGTTTTGTTTTTTACTTTCCCCATGAGACTAGGTGTGATTTAAGAAGAAAAAGAAAGAATAATGAGGAACCAAATGTGGTAAATTTCTTAGGAAGAAATATATTTAGTAACTAATTAACTGGCAAAGTTACCAGATAATTTATCTTAAAATTTTATTTTTCAATTTGCCAAATAAATATTTTATGAAAGCTGTGCTAAACAGAGTTGGGACAATGGCTGAAAATTTTTTTAAAAAGTATTATCTAAATCAAGCTTCCGTTGTTTAGGAATGATATTCCATTCCAAGAGAAAACACAGACTTTGTTCCCCAGTAAATAATTAATCACTATATTATACATACCTTCCTGACACTATATCATCATAATAAACATAAATGTAAAACATACAAAAAAATCTTAAAGATAAATATTACTTTGAACTTATGGAAAAATCTTCCCTTGGCAATATGGCTAGTGTTCTATTTTAAGCCTGTTTTAAAAAGTTGTATAAAATATTTCTGGGACTGTCACACAAATATGAAAAGATTCTTCAAACACTATCAGAGTAAAAGTACAAGAAGTATTTCAAAAAGCTACATATGATTATCATGATTTACACTGTGAATTTCATCTTCTCCTTTTGACTCTTCTGTCGGAACCAATCAAATTACAACACCCAGTTGAGCAAACACTCACTCAACAACCACCCATATTGGTAAATTAATTTGGCTGTGGTCAAAGTGGAACTGTACTCTACAGGGTTTTCAGTGGCTGAGTTTTCAGAAACAGATCTCCAGGCATTTCTTCCAAGGCACTCAAAAGTGGGTACACTTGAACCTTCAATCATATGATGAGCATCTGACTACATTAACATTTTTAAGACTGAGAGCTTATCAACATACATATAATTGGAAAAGTTGTCGTTGGAGTACCAAAAATGAGAAACAAGAAAATTATGTTTTTAACTTTTTTTTTCCATTTATATTTTGCAACTCAAAATGTTTAGTAAGCTGACATTGTATTTTATCTCTCACGCAGCTGAGAGATATTGTGGTTATTTTTAGCTTGTCTTGAGTGCTACTACTGTTCCCTTATAATTATTTTACTACTATGCAGTCATGATTGAATTGGAGGAGAAAATAAAGTAAATCAAAACACCCAGTAAAATTATCTTAAAAAGGGAGAAAAGAAAAAAAAAACAGGAAAACAGAGTCAGAATTATCTAGTACATTATACAAATGCACGAACAAAGAAACTTTAAATTAAAATGTTCACTAATAATACCATTGAACGCACAGTGGCCCCACAAGATAAGCATTGGACCATGAACTGCAAGGTTGGCAGTTTGAGCCCACCAGCTGCTCCTCGGGAAAAAGATAAGCCTTTTCTATTCCACAAAAGACTGACAGCCTTGGAAACCCTATACAAGGTGGCTATGTGTTGGGATCCACTAAATGACACTTAACAATGACAATAAGACAATTACATAATGATTAGAAAAAACAAAAACAAAACACAGTTGCCTTGAAGTCAATTCTGACTCATGGAAAGCTTAAGTGAGTCAGAGGAGAGCTGAGCTCCAGAGTTTCCAATGGCTGATTTTTTGGAAGCAGATTGCCAACTCTTTCTTCAAAGGTTCCTCTAAGTTGACTTGAGCCACAAACATTTTGGTTAGTACCCAAGCACATAACCGTTTGCACTATCTAGGGACCGTATATAATGATAACCTTAGAATATTATTCAATCAAGTTACAAGACGTATAACTCTCAGACTAAATAATCAGATTCTATGTATTACCACTCTTTTTTACACTATAGTAGCTTGATATCAGACTAATGATGTCAAACAAAGCAACATACAAACATACCAGCATTCTTGTTCAATTCCATTTTAACCACGTTTTATGAGAATCTGAATTCACATATTTAAAAAATAAGTCAAGATGAATTTTACCTTATCAGTCGTCACATCAAGTTGTGGGATGTCCTCATATTTGTGGACAGAAATAATGTTCCCTTCCTCTGAGTTGGTTGGAGATTGGGCAGATGTACCCTCGCTGTATGACTCACTGGTGACAGGATGTGTTTTACTGAAAGACTGTGACCTTTTTACCACAGCCAGGGCAAATGGTGAGGGAGCAGAACTTGAGTATGGTCGTGGGGCCCCAAAAGTTTTCAAAGTCTTCAAATTTTGTGCTGCAAACTGACTAGCAGGAAGTGACACAGGTTTGGGGGCTATTGGGGGAGCAGAGGTTTCAACAGGCTTTTGACTGACAACGTCATTGCTAGATTTTTTGATGGGGGGCTGTGGGGGAAGGTTGACTGTTTTACTTAAGAAAGAAAGACGTTGCTCTGCAGAGGGCAGCGGACTCCTTTCCACCTCTTTATTTATAGATTCCTTTGGAGCAGGATTAGGGCCAGCATGGACACTCTTAGCAGCTGCAGATGTCACATACTGACCCGCCATTCTTTTCTGCATCTGCAAGAAAAAGGAGCTTGGTTTGCCCTGGGGGTTTGAAATCCTCGCTTTAAGTTGTGACTCCAGAACACTGTTTATCTCTTCCAAATTTGGAGCATATGGAGCTGTGGCCGTGTCTCTAGTCATTTTGGGAAGAGGTTTCAGATGATCAGATCCATCAGCGGGCCTCCCAGCCCTGAGCACCTGATGCGCTATTCCCATGTTAGGTTTTGGTGCACGGTCTGACTGTGTTTCCTTTGGGTCCTCAGAAATAACAAGGTCTTCTGTTTGGAGGGCAGTTTCTTTCACATTCTCGTATGTGTGCTTTTTCCCCGGAAGATGCATCTCCTGATCATTTTTATAACCTATGTTTTCTGATTCCCAGTCTTTTAATATTTCCAGGGATTTGGGAGGCACTATTTTGTAAGTAGTCATTCCAATTTTGGGTATATAACACCTTGTAATTTCATCAGAAGGTTTTGGCTTGGGTTTGCACTCTTGTCTGTAAAATGGATAATTCTTCAGATCAGAAGCATTTGTGTTTTTATCAAGCCCATCTGCAGGAGTCAAGAGATTATCATTACCAGATACACAATTTGGATCCTTTATGGTGAGTTGGTCTTCCTGTACAATTAGTGTACCGTGACTCCGGAATTCTCTTGAGGTGTCTACAGAATTTGGAGGCTGTAAGGATGAGTCCTGAATTGATTTACTGTTATTTGAAGTTTGCACGCTTTCATCAACTCTGAAGTCAGACAAATGATGATTTTGTTGATTCCCATCAAGACTGTTACAGGAAGGGGTTGTCTGAATTGCTGCATCTTGCATTTTTATCTGTTCTACAGTGAGTTGATTCAGCTTTTGATCTGGCAGCAATGAAGCTGCTAAATGATTTTCCTTGTAATTTACAGTAGTATCCGTTTTACATGCCTGATAGTTTGATAGTCTGTCAACTTTTATGTCTACATCACTATTTTTGGCAACATATGCTACATTCATTTCTGTCTTCTTCACCCCATTTTTCTTATTGTCTTCTGCTTTTGATGGAAAGGCAATTACTTCATTTTGATCTATTAAGAGAAAAATATATCCTGAAGTTAAATATATTAAGAAAACAAAAGAAAACTCAACCTTTCAGTGTCTGCCTCTCCTAAACTGAAATACCTTGGTTTAAATTCTACAGATAATTCTCTGCTCATTAATTATATAAGAACAAGTAGTAGCAATGGAATTTTAGAGACCTGAGTTTCTAATCCAGCTTAAGCAGGTTAAGCATATTACTTAAACACTTCGAGCCTCCACTTAGTTTGCTGATGTGTAAAAAAGGTGGAAGTGTATATGATATTTTATAGTATTCTATAACACTCTTAACAGGATAGGGTATTTCCAAGAATAAGCACTCCTTAGAAAGCAGTTATTCTTCTTTCTACATGTAAGGACAACATATTTCAGTCTGTGTTAATGATAACAAAAGCAAGAAATAAACAAGTTCAAACACAAGAATTTTTGCTCTTTTTTATTTTCCATTTTGACTCTCTTTTCTCTAGCCACTAGTGTATTTGTTTCATGCCTTGCGTTAAAAGGTAAACAATTCTAACAAACATAAGTTTTAATTACAACAGACAGTAGAAAGTATTACCTATAAGATTTTAAGTAAAAACATAGTCTACGTTGTTTTGTTAATTAGGTGTTCTTGTTAAAGACTTTTAGAGGACTTTGCTTATGGTCTTTATATGGGAAATTTTGACTACATTAAAACAATCATCTTGCTTTTGGTTTTTCTCTGTGGGAAAACAAGAATCAGAGCCCAAGTGGCGAAAACAATTTCCCTCTCCCTACTCTACTTTCCCTCTTGATTCTAATTCAGTCATCCTGAAAAAGAAAACCACTTGCCAATATCTAGGTTAACAAAACAACATCTGCCAGTCAATAGCATGATGGCAAAGAACTGGAGTAAGGCACCTGGAAGGAAACAAAGGTTAATGAATATGGACTGTGTCCCTATACTGAACTCTGGGATTTACATACTGTGCTTCTCTATTCAAATGCAGCTTCTCATGCATTTTGAGTCTTCAACTCAAAACTATTACTGTCACATAAGGCAGTTGCATATTGTAAGTGAAATATGGGTTTTAGGAGTCAAATCATGAAAGGAGAAAAATTACAAATGGATGTTTAGTATTTTCTATAGTTTTATAATTACCTACATTTACCTACAGGATAAAAATCACATTTACTGCCTAGAATGTAATGTAACTTAAAGTAGCTTCTATGCTAAAAAAGGAAAGGAAAAAAGAAAGGTATGCATGCAAGAAAATCATGTTACCAGGTAAATTTGTGAACAATTTTTTTAAATGTCTTCACTTTACATATTTACACTTTAGTTGTACAAATATTTAGTTATGGTACCAAAAACCCCAAAACCCACTAGTCATCAAATCCATTCTGATTCTTAGTGACCCTATACAAAAGAGTAGAAGAGCTCCATATGCTTTTTAAGGCTAAGCATACTTTCTTCTTTCTTGACTATTTCTCATTTTCCACTAACTGTAGGATTAGCACTGGACTACTAACCACAGATCAATGGTCCAAACCCATCATCCACTCTGTGGAAGAAAGATGAAGCTGTTTGGTCTGGTATAGCTTTAGTCTCAGGAACCCTATATAGGGTAGCTATGAGTCAAAGTGCACTCAATGGCAGTGGGTTTGGTTTTGGTTTTAAGGATAGGCATATCCTAGTTTATACAATAGAAATATTTAACAAAAGAAAGTACATCAATATAAATATATTTTTAATTAAGTCCTTATGTTGTTGTTGTTAAGTGCCGTTGAGTTGGTTCCAACTCATAGTGACCCTGTGTATGGTTTCCAAGGAGCTGCTGGTGGGTCTAAACTGCTCACCTTGTGGTTCACAGTTCAATGCTGATCTTACAGCGCCATACCAGGAGTCCAAAGCCCTTACAGTCAGCTTAATTTATTGGTTTTAAAACTAGATTTCGGTTTTATACATTTTTGTTAAGAGGTCTAGTCCGGTACTGTAGGATAAGCACTGGAATGTTAACCATAAGGTCAGCAGTTCAAACCCAGCAGCTGCTCCTTGAAAACCCTATACAGGGTCACTGTGAGTTAGAACCAACTTGATGGCACCTAACAGTAACATGAATACCTAATTTACTTTTGTATAATTCTGGTGCTCTCATTAACATTTTGATATTATCTGCAATGATTGTCCAGCTAAGATTTGTGTATGCTGGAAATCTAGACTCACTAGCTGTATCTATGATCAAATCCATCCTTTTACATGTTTGACAATAATGTTACCCACTTGTGTAAAAGCAGCTAAGTGGGTAGGCATTTTCCAGGATTGGCCAGTAGAGGGAGGACGTGGGTTTTGTACTATGTTAGTCTTCCCCTATTCAAAACTGACACACCTACAAAGTGAGATGATGATTCAAATAAGCACATGTTGTTATTAAGTGTCACACAGTCTATTCCGACCCTTAGCGACCTGCATAGGGTTTCCAAGGAGTGGCTGGTGAGTCTGAACAACCAACCTTGCAGTTCAAACCGACCTTGTGGCCAAGTACTTATCCTACAGTACCACACCAGGACATTGGTACGTAAAAAGAAAAATGGACAAAAACTACTTTAAATTTAAGAAAGAAAGAAAAAAATAAATAAATAAAGTTAAGAAAGATTCTGATGTTACCAATCACCAAGAGTGACAATGCAAATTATTGCAAATCAAGTGCAAATTAAATCAATTAGTATTATGTAAATGCACTTGTAACCCTAGCACTAACTGAAGTCTAATCTTAGCATAAAGAATTTGACTATGATTTTATAAAGTAAACAGCTTTAAATCATAATTTCCCAACAGGGGGTGCTACTGTTATTATAGTTTATGTTATGAGAAGTGAAAGAAGACAAAAAGAATTAGGAAATAATGTACTTTAGACCTTCTCAGTAAGGTGTCTCAGTAGATATTGAGGAGGTAAATGAATCAAGGATGCATATATTCAAGTTAAATATTGTTAATGTTGTTCAGTGCTGTCACATTGGTTCCAACTCATAGCGACCCTACAGAGGGTTTCCAAAGTACGGCTACTGGTTTGGAGCTGCCAACCTTGCCATGCATATAAAATGATTCATACATTTTTAACACTGGGGTTGTCAATGTCTTATCCATTATATATTTTTTGTTTCTAAGACTTTTAGCCTAGTTTATTAATATAGTCGATTACACATACATTAATATATATATGAATTTTTAGAAGCCACTTATCCCTTAAAATATAATTTTACCATATTTGCACCTTCTATTTGTGTAGCATCGTTTTTCAGAAATTCAATTCTAGAGTACGTATATCATAAAGTATGTACTATGTACTCAATATTCTAGCTAAATGCTATGGAAATTCAAATAAAGTATTGTATGTAAATTCTTTGATTCAAGTGTGTCCAATTTTTCTGAGAAGTCAAGACTATAGAAATACATAGACTCTAGTAATCCAGTAAGGAGCTCTGGTAGCATAGTGGTTACGAATGTGGCTGCGAATCTTAAGGTCAGCAGTTTGAAACTACCAGCTGCTCCGCAGGAGAAAGATGAGGCTTTCTGCTCCCGTAAAGATTTACAGCCTCGGAAACCCTGTACAGGGTCGCTGTGAGCCAGAACCTACTCCACGGCACATAACAACAACAACAACAAATAATCCAGTAGAAAACAAATGAAATGGTAAAAATTAGATAGAAGTAAATGGGCAATGATGGATAGCAAATGGTTTACACAATGCAAAGACAACAAGAACAAAGCAGAAAAGTTTCATTCAAAGCACAGCAACATGTATAAAGTAAAATAGGTTTAGACTGAGTTACAAGAAAGAGAGAAATAGGTTACAATTAGAGGCATAAAATGTACATTTTTAAAGATACAAGTTTTAAGTTATGAGAGAAAAAAAGTAGTGCACATGGGTTAAGCACTGACTTTGGAGTAATATTGCTAAGTGCAAATCCTAGGTTTCCCACTTACTAGTTATAGGGTTTGGGTCCATTTTATATTTTGTGGCTCAAGCACCTCTAAAATGGTACTAAAATAAATGAAACTTTCATCTTAAAGGAGACAAGTATTAAATGAGTCAGTATCAAGATTAAAGGAGTTCATCTATATAAATTGTTAAAATATTCCTTGGCTCATAATAAGTGCTACAAAGGTATTGGCTATCATTAGTTTACATAACTCACCATTCTCTTCATTTGTGCCCAATGACTTCAAGTGTTGTTGTACACTGCCAGTGGCTGTCACTTCATTGCTTGTGTTACATACTATAGAGTGTGGTCCTCTGTAAGATACAATACCGTATGTTATCTACTGATGCCATTCTCTCCCTCCCTCTCTCTCTCTCTCTCTCTCTCTCTCTCTCTCTCTCTCTCTCACACACACACACACACACACACATAGGATAAGAGAGCAGGCAATCATTTTCAGAGACAGATGGACCGAAGTAATCATCCCTTTCTGCCAAATACTGGAAATTTAATAGCAAAGAAAAAAATACAACTGTGAGAAAACGCTTCTATGAAACATTAGCTTTCATATGTTAGTCCTCTTACAAAGAAAGATGTAAGAAGCTTGGACAGTTTTTATTTTGTTACTATTAGCTATTAGACTTAAAAAATGGAAACTGAAACACTTTAGCTTACATTTGGCAAGGTCAACTATCAGATAAAGATATGGATTGAGCTCACTGATGCCTTTTCTCCACCGAAGATAGTCCTAAGCAAATTAGTGTAAAACTTTGACAAAGATGGTTGATGTTGCCTCACTGATTTCATCACTATTCAGTGTGGCATTTTAAACATAATATGAGTGGATTATGATATGGCCTACAATCTCTATGATCAAGAATAGGTGTCACATGCATCTCAACCTTCTTTTAGATGATCTATGGAGTACTTAGTGGAAAGTGTATTCTCTGCATCATAAAATCGACTATTCAAACAATATTAGTGATTTAATATTATACTCTAATAAGAAGAATTGCTTTTATATACCAGTCTTTAAAAATCCTGGAGAACTAGGCTGTGAAAATTGAAAAATGTGTTTCTTTTAGGTCAAATAGATAACACGTTAAAATGAAACTAAATAAAACAAAACTAAATTTTGAGTCATATAGTTAACTACATGTTTTTATTAACCAGATACAGAGGGAATGAGGACTGTTGAAACTTATTTTAGACCCAATTGCACACCTGCACATTAAAATACAAATACTTTATTAATAGAGGTTTTTTTTTTTTGTTTTTTTTTTTAAATGATGGCAAATGGATTGGAATCTGAAACCAAAGGGCTGGTTGTATTTGTATTAGAAACATCAAATCTACATTTCAGAAGACTAGTATTAATTAAACAAACTATTACTAACACTTCTGGCACACGGTCTACTTACTGTCCATCTGTGTTTCGAGCGTCTTGTTTTTCTTCCTTGGAGTTTTCTGAGGACTTCACAGTACCATTGCCAAAGGCTGAATCGGGATCATTTTTCATAGTATTTATTATATTAGTAGATATTAAAGGAGTATCTTGTGATTTTAGAGACAATTTTTCAGCTTCATTTTTAGGCACTTCATTCAGTTCTTCCTTTTCATCTATTTCGTCAAGACTGTAATCAGAGCTTATTCCAGCTACAAAGAAACACAGATATAATCCTAAATATTAATTTGCCTCATTCATTCTGTGCACAATTGGCAAATGAGGGATTTTTGAAATAATAAATAACTGGAGTATTAAATTTTGATCTAAAAGTGAAATATTTTTCAATGATAGAGAATCATGTTAATACACAACCATATTATTTTAGACACCTACTATTCTAAAAATAATATTCTAATATAATTAATTTTATCCAGGATATAAACAGGCTATTTAATCTCATGAACTTCAAATTACATATTTAAGAATATCTTTTAATTAAATGATTTGTATGTTCATGTAATAGCTCTTAAATGACATCCTAAATGAAAACTAGTACATGAGATTTTGTATTGTCTATAAATGCACTTACTAAATATAATTCAGTAGTTGTCAGTATTTACTATACTTTAGAATTACCTGAGCCCCTTTTAAAAATATGATGTCCATATCTCATTCTACTCCTATTAATCAGAATCTCTGGCAGGTGGGGCTGAAACATTTTATAGCTACTCAGATGATTTTCATGTGAAACCAGGAACTAGTGTCACTGAACTACCATTTATGCAACTAACACATATCAGGTTAGCACTGGACTGCTAACCACAAGTTGGTGGTTCAAACCCACCAGTCTCTCCTTTGAAACCCTATACAGGGTCACTATGAGTAGATATGGCACTTGACAACAACACATGTATTAATGTTTTGGTTTTTTATCACCAACTGTGCAAACCTCCTTCCCCCATTTTCACAAGCATTCTATGCATGGCTATTACTTGTGAAAAAATATGATAGATGCTTAATAGATTATTTAAAAGATACAAGTAGAATAAGTATGATACAATATAAATTAATTTTTATTATCACACAATTTGATTTTTAGAGACAACTTCCTTTAAAAGTATTTTCCTGTACATTATAGAAAATGTAATGCACAAACATAAGTATATATGCATACTGATATTTTTCCTTCTCTCTTTTTGTTGGTTTATTTAATAAAAATGAAAGCAAGCTTCTTATACTCGATCCTTTCCATCTTTCCTTTTTTCCACTTACCAGGTCTTAAAGAAGCTCTGTTAGCATAGTGGGTTACATGTTGGGCTGCTAACCCACAAGGTCAACAGTTTGAATCTACCACCTGCTTTGTGTGAAAAAGATGAGGCTTTCTGCTCCTGTAAAGATTTACAGCTTTGGAAACCCTATACAGGGTCACTATGAGTGGGAACCAACACCACTGCATATACCACCACCACTATGTTTTAGTTGTTGTTGTTATGTGCCGTAGAGTTGGTTCCCACTCATAGCGACCCTGTACAGGGTTTCTGAGGCTGTTAATCTTTACGGGAGCAGAAAGCCTCATCTTTCTCCCACGGAACAGCTGGTAGTTTCGAACTGCTGACCTTGTGGATCACAGCCCGATTCATAAACACTATGCTACCAAAGCTCCTCATATCAATGTGTATGTTGTGCATGCATGTCTGTGCCTTTGGACACACATTCAGATGTGTGTGGTTCTTTCAAACAGCTGTGGGCAATATAACATTGAATAAAAATGTATTTTATCATTACTCCTTAGCAGCAACTAACAATGGCCAGCGAGGTAAAAGAGGAGACAACCTAAGCAAGTAGTATCCACGTTTATTGTCAAGACTAGCTATGATAGTAAATTTAAACCAAAGAATGAGGTTCTGGAACTTAACTTATTTGGATGTATTTAAACACTACCATTTATATAATGGTAGCTGAACAAAGTTGAATTTTACAAGAGGGGGATTAGACTGCAATGATCAATACATCTATAAAAATTCAATAAAAAGCTTACGAATATTTGAATAATATTTCAAGTACTTAGTGTGCTTTTCATTAATCTTATCTTTGGGTATACAGACAGAAAAAATATGTTGCTTTTTCTCTGTTTTAAAAAGCGGGGAATTTTAACGGTTTTTTCCTCAATTGTAAAGGCATTAGTTAATTTTAAGTAAGTTTTCCTATGAGGATGCCCAAAACGGAATTTCCCCTGAACTTTCCTTATACGTATTTGACAAGTCATGTTTTATTACAAAATATGAACTAATCATAATGCAAGTGTGTTATATGGCATTCTAAATTTATAAAGGATACTCACATAATTTTAGACTCTATCTTGAGAAAAGTGAAAGATCGTGTTGGTTTAGATGTTAATGTATTATATAATGTCTTCTCAGTATTAAACAGTTTTTGAAATTACATTATTCAAAGTAACATTTAACAAATTATTAATAGCTACCATTTCCTATGACAAATATTTCAGAGATATACAGCTTTCTTTTAAGTAGGGTCCCTCTTTGAGAAACTAGCCTCAATCAAAGTATAAACAGTAAGTGAAATCCTTTCATATTATTTTTCTAGACTTGTATAACTTGATAATATGCTCATTAAAATATCATCATTTATTAGTTTGAAAGGCGTACTGGTGTGGCGTTGTAAGATAATGCACTGGACCGCAAGGTTTGGTTTGAACCTCAAGGTAAATGGTTCAAATTCACCAGCTGCTCCTTGGAAACTCTATATGGTGTCGTCATGAGTTGGATCCGACTTGATGGCACTTAACAATAACAACAACAACATTAGCTTGAAAAGCATACTATTAAGAAGGCTTATGAAAGGTACTGTTTTCGTTTTTTTAAAAATATCAAAGAACATTTTCATAGTTTGTTGTTCCTGACTAGTACAGATTTTCCCAAGTTTTGAAACTACTGAATTGAGTTTGTTTTGTTTATCTAAACAGATTTATGAGTCAGTCAAATTTTAGTTCTACCAAAAAAAAAAATTGGGGTTGTGAATAATGAAGGTAAACAATTTTGCCAAATGTTATATCACAACTCTTGCTATTTCAGCTTCATAAGCACTACAGGAAGAATATTTTGCTTCAAAGAATACTGTTCAAAATTTACTGCAGCTTTTTTTTAAAAAAAATTAACAACTGCAGAGTACAACATTGAAAACTAACAAAAACTTTTGAAAATATCTAAATTTATTTCATACTTATTCAGCTATATGTTTATTCAAATTATACTTAAAATTTGAATAATTTTAATTATTTCAGTCCCTCTGAGGATAGCAAATACTGACTGAAAAAGTGTATTAAATATTAGTATGTCAAAAAAATAAACTGATAGGAAACTAATTATTAAACAAAATCATCAAATTGTGAAGCTATTGTTCCTCAGTATAGCCTCCATGTAGTTCTGTATACTTCTGAGGCAGTGTTTCCATCTCTGTAACCCTTCCCTGTGTTCTTCAATTTACACCATGTTAAAATTACTTTGGGCATACTTGAGGGCCCGAAAGTGTGTTCCTTTTCTAAATGCTCTTTCACTTTGGGAATAAAACAAAGTCTGATGGGGCAAGATCAAGACTATAGAGTAAATGGGGTAAGAGTAAGGTTTCCTAACAAAATTGTTTAAAAACAGCATTTGCTACCCTCAAAGAATGAACAGGCAGATTGTCTTGATAGAAAAAAAACTGGGTGCAACTTTGCTGCACTTTTTCTCAAAAATGCAGTTTTCAATTTTCTTAAGACTTCTTCATACTTAGCTCCTGTAATCATTCTGTGTTCTTTTAGAAAATCTATCAAGATTAACCTTTTGGAATCCCCAAAACAATTGCCATAACCTTCTGAGCTGACCTCTCCGCTTTGAATTCATCTTTGAGGTCTTTCCGACCTTCCTTAAAATGTTGATCCATCTAAAAACTGTTGTTTTTTATGGGTCAGCATTCCTGTAAACTTACTGTAAAGCTTAAGATGTCCATTGAGTTACACTAAAAATTTGCTATTAGCCTGGACTTCAAAGCCATTTTTTCTTTGGTACAAAAGTATTATTTTGTTGAAGGCACCATAATGAGACGAAGACAAATATATTTCTGAGAGAATGTGTCAACAGCCAGACTCTGATTGCAAAGACTTGTTTAAATACGCTTTGTTTGTAATGAACCTGTGCATGCATGAACCGGAATTCTAGCAGCAAGATCTTTTGACTTACCCTAATACTCAAAATTCACAAAATATATTGTATAAAAAAGAGATACAAACAATTAAATTTTCAAGATTTTTTTCTTCTTTTTGTATTTCTAGTATTTTACTTGGAAAGTTAATAAAACAGTATTTCACTAAGACTTTTGGGATACTGGAGTCCTGGTGTGGTGCTGCTGTTGAATGTGCTGGACCACAAGGTCGGTTTGAACTGCAAGGTGGATGGTTCAAGCTCACCAGCCACTCCTCAGAAACCATAAACAGGGTCATTCTGATTCAGAAACAACTAAGTGTCACTTAACAACAACAATAACTTATATACTTCCTAGAGATGATGAAATTAGTAATAAACTTGCTAGATAAATACTAAACTTTGCTAAAACAAAATTATAATAAATTCAATGTACTCTGGTAGCGTAGTGGTTACGAATCAGGCTGCGAACCTTAAGGTCAGCGGTTCGAAACTACCAGCCGCTCCGCGGGAGAAAGATAAGGCTTTCTACTCCCGTAAAGATTTACACCCTTGGAAACCCTGTACAGGGTCGCTATGGGTCGGAACCGACTCGACGGCACTTCACAACAACAACAACAACTTTAATTTTTAAAATTTATTTAAAAATGCTCAATATTCATCAGAGTCTGGTTAGCTATTTCAAGGGAGAGTTGGTTTTGCTTTTTTTCATTTTATAAATTTGAGGTATAATTTGCATTCAGTAAAATTCATTTTTTTGAATACAGTTTTTCGAGTTTTGATGTAGTTAAATGACTACTACCATGGTGAAAATACAGAACAATTTCATTAACCCCCAAACTCCCTATGTCTCTTTCTACCCAACTCATTCCTTCAACCCCAGGTCTTGGAAACCAGTATTCCTATAGTTCTGCCTTTGCAAGAAGGTCATCTGAATCAAACACTACAGGCTGTAGCCCCCTGAGTTTGTCTTATTTTATTTAGCATAATGCTTTTAGGATTCATCCAATTTGCTACATTGATCAGTTGCTCATTCTTGCATATGGCTAAGTAGTATTGCAATAAATGAAAGCACATAATAGTAACATTCTTAGTTTAGAGACACTTGGATTGTTTCTCTCTCTCTCTTTTTTTTTTTGGTAATTGTGAACAAAAAAATCACAACTCACAAGCAGGTTGTTTTATGTGCAGATAAGCTTTCACTCTTCCTAGGAAAGCAACCAAAACTGGTATTGCTAGGTTATAAGGAAAATGTTTAAATTTTATTTTAAAACCTGCCAAACTCTTTTCTGAATTGGCCACACAATTTCACAATCCCATAAGCAAGGCATGAAAGTGTATTTAAATCACTGGTTTGAGATGATAAAAGCTATTACTGAGTCACTGAAAGTTGGGCAAAATTATGAGAGAAATTCAAGTATTGTTAAGTTGTTGCTAAGTGCCTTTGAGTCAGTTCTGACTCACTGCGAACCCTATAGGGTTTCTGAAGAGCAGCTGGTGAATTTGAACCCCTGACTTTGCAGTCCATTGCTTATCTTATAGTACCACACCAGGATTCCAGTTTAAGTATTACATAGCTATTGTATCTTCGATGCAATATTTATAATTTAAAAAAGAAACCCTAGTTAAAAGCAGGAGTACTGGTATGGTACACAGGATAAGCACTTAACCTCAAGGTCAGTTTGAACCTCAAGGTTAGCAGTTCAAACTCACCAGCTGCTCCTCAGAAACTCTATTCAGGGTCTCTGTGAGTCAGAACAGACTCCTCAGCACTTAACAACAAAACAACAACAATTAAAAGCAATACTATGAAAAATAATTGATAGCAAGGACATAATTCAATAAATAATATAAAAAATGAGGGGACTTTCAAACATTTGTGGAAGAAATTCATTATTCATGAACTTTTTGAAACCCCCTTGTATGAATATATATGTGTGTTATGTGTGTGTATAGACATATAGACTGTTACACATTGAAAATAAAAAATTCAACCATTTTCCCCCAAAATTAGAAAGCTAGGTAGAAGTTGAAATTTTTCAGAGGCACTGACTTTATTCATTTTTACTTTGTCAAATTCATGTGTTTGGTTAGGAAAAATAAAAAACAAACATGCATAAAGTATCAAGTGAGATGGGGGACACTGCTATCTGTTTATGACACATTTTTACACAAGGGTTCAGCAAACAACCAGCTCTAGACAAGATAATGTTTTACTCAGCAATAAAGAAAGCATCAGCAAGGAAAAGCCCCACCACCTACATGCCAGTGATGCCACAGCTGCCTCAGAGGTTCCAGGGTGCTCAGAAACCAAGGCTTCCTCAGAGTCTGTGGGCGCGGCAAACTGTTCATGATGGGGGAGCCCAGGGTCAAAGGAGGCTTCTGCTAAAGAAATAAAATCTGTAGAAATGTACTTAGACAACAGTTAAGGTGATCAGAGGTGAAGAAGCATTTCAGAAGAAATCAGATTTGCTAGCTCACAATTATTCATGCATTAAATAAGAAGAGATAAAAGGGAAAAAAGAAAAAAGGTATCAAGCAAAGTTTGAGTAGAATCATACTTCTTTCTACATTCCAGACTCTTGTCATTTCACTTATGCAATTTAAGTGAACATTATTGAATGAATTTCCTTTGTTTGACAAAACTATCACATTGATACTATTCTGGGTAGGAAGTGAAAACTGTTATCAGTTTTCTTATCTCACCATAGTATTTTTAAGGTATATTAAAATCTCAAATTCCGAAATACCAGTTAATTATTAAAACTCAAGAACATTTTTCCTCCTGAAATTTTCCTGTATTAGTGAATATTATTTTAAGCAATTTTCATACCTATCAATTTATTTCATGCTAAATTCTTAGCATAAAAATACTTTATTTTTAATGGTATTACTCATCTATTATATGTATTCATGGCTATTTTAACTGTGGACTCCTGGTGTGTGGTGCTGTGGGTTAATGCACTGGACTGCAAAGTAGGTTTCAACCAAAAGGCTGGCGGTTCAAGCTCATCAGCCACTCCCCTTGGAAACCTTATACAGGATCACTAAGACCTGACAACACTTAACAACAACAACTTAAACTATAAGGATTAAGAAATTTTATCATATTTATTTTTGTACTTGTCATTATACTACATATGTAATCTGTAGTACAATAGTACTAAACACTAGTATAGAAAACATTAGGAAAATATTATTTAACTCTTACTGAAATTTCATTTATTTGGAGAGAATCCAAAATGATATAATAGAAAATATTTTCATCCTATTAAAAAAATTTACAACTAGAATGTGCATACCATGTATCAGGGAGATTCAAAAAATTTGTAGTTAAATGGAATTAAAAGATAATGTCTAAGTGGAATTAGAAGATAATGGAATTCTTTTTGAAACTTCATATGTTGAATTCATACTTGGGACAACTGCTTAAAGAAACGGTGCTTTACAACTTTATGCAAATTTTCTTCTGAATACACAGAGGGGTCTTCCTGACTATGATGTGCCATTACTCAGGGGAAGGATGTGAATAAATGTTTAATTGACATTGTATAAGAAAAACGCAGGATCTCATTGGGAATTTACTCAAGATGTCATCCTAGAAGCAAAATATTGAGATCTGTTCATTTCAAAATTTATGACATATGATACTTGGAAAATCTGGGGATATGGGGCCAGAGGGTCTGTATCTCATTCATGTAGAGGATTATAACTGGATTAGATCCTTAATTATGATAAAAAAAATTTTCCCTTTCAGTAATTACAGGATTCAGAGTGCAGGTGCTATACCTGGGCTGGACAGTCCTCCGGGAGAGTTTGCTTCTGAAACACTGCTTCGAGGAGTTGTTTCTACAGAATGCAGGGCTAGGAGAAACAAAACAACACAACTCACAAACAATTCCTTAGTAGATTAATTTAGCTATTTAGTAAAGACATGAGCCCCAAACTTGTTGAAAACCATTTTGTTGTCTAGTTCTGAAGTAACTAAACTTCACTTAAATTCCCAAGGCTATACAGTCGCTGGAGAAGGATGTCATGCTGGGTAAGGTGGAGGGTCAGAGAAAAAGAGGAAGACCCCCAATGAGATGGATCAGCCAGGTGGCATCATTGATGGCATCAAGTGTGGCAGCAGTAGTGAGGTTGGCCCAGGATCGAACATTGTTTCGTTCTGCTGTGCATGAGGTCGCTATGAGTCGGTTCCGACTCGATGGCACCTGACAACAACAACAATATGTAGCAAATCCTGGAAAGGAAGTATCTTTCTGAATAAGTTCAGAAAGTATAAAATGCTGACTTTAAGATAATGGATTTTACAGTTTGTCATTTAAGTTTGTTATGTGGTAGACTTGACAAAGGCAATTAATTGAAAACTAGTGACGATGTGAAAAGCTTAAGGTAAATATTATTTTATTTAAACACCACAATATTATAGCTGATATCATTTCTACATCCTAGATTTAAAAATACACAATATACATTTAATGTTAATAGTAGAAGTAACATTACCTGTGGTTTGATTATGTTCATCACTTAGATTCACGGGCATTTTGGAGGGTGGGGATGGTGCTTTTCGCTTTGTCCTTCTCAAAGATGAACTCCCTAAGGATGTGCTACTGAGTGAGCCTGTCCTCACTATGCCCGTTCCGCAGGAACTCTATGGAAAACAAAATGACCATGCATAATCTTTTATTTAGAAACTAATATCAAACTCTAGGAAGCCGCTGATCTTTATGCCAAACACATCATCTAACAGAATGGAACATGATAGTCATTCATTCTTCAAAATTATTTATGGGGTATCTGCTATATGCCAGGAGCTGAGTCAAGAGATGGGTATGTATAGAAAACGAAACTACAGTTCTCCTCAAGACAGTCTATGATAGGAGATTGACATGCAAACAACTCATTATAATGTAGAGGACTTATAAGCAATACAATTAAAAACTAACATTCCAAGAAAGATACATTGGAAGATATTGGAAGTATATGGTTGAAAAGGCAAGAATCTGTGTATATCAACAGAGCTGGCACTGATTTAATCTCTTTCTGGCAGTGATGTATCAACAACAAACATTGAAAAAATCTTTATGTCTAATCATGGCAAGGCCGTTTAGGGTCACTGACTCCACAGCTAATGCTCACACGTAAGCATGTGACTGCCAGCAACCCTAAGACAATCAAGCCTCAGCAAGCTGGCTGGTACCTTTTGACCAATGGCCATTCATCTTGCTCTTTCCCTTTGCCAGAAAATTGCCTGCACAAGTCATTCTCAGATTTTTGTCTCTCTGACTTGAACCCTTCAAAATTCATTTCTCTGTCCCTCATTCCCAGAAACTATTTCTCTGAAAGTCACCAGTGATATCCATAGGACTAAATCAAAATCCATTTACTTGCACTTAGCAGCCTTATTTGGAATTGACCACCCTTTTCTCCTCAAAATACTTTGCTCACTTCCAGTGCCCTTTCTTTGGACAGACAGTAACTTTCTGGATACCCTGTTTTCCTTGTTAGCTCCTGACTTAACATTAGTATGACTTTGATAGCTTCTTCTTTGAATCTACCCTTACTCTCTATGTGATCTCATCTATGCTATTGGTTTTAAATATTCACATGCTTCTGTCCCTATCATGAAACTCTGTTTTCATCTTCACTTAATGTCCAAGGTCATCTCAAATGTAACATGTCTAAAACTGAGATCCTAATAACTCCGCTTCTCTCCTCACCCCAGAAGTCTTGCTCTTCTCACAATCTTGTCTATCTCAGTAAAGAGCAAGACATTTCTTCCATTGCTCCAGACAGACAGCTTTTTCTCTTCCCTCTTATCCTCCATATGGACTCCATTCTGTAAAAGACACCTGGCACCCAGCCACTTTCGAACACCTCAACTGCTACCACACAATCCAAATCATCACCATGATGGCTTTCCACTTGGCACAGAAAAGCCAAAGTCCTTATGAATTCTAATACAAAATGGTTAAAAATATTTTTTGAAAATGCTAGGAAAGCTACTGCTTTCTAGCCAGCATTCTTAAACGGTGTTTTTTTGTGTGCACTTAGGTTTATATTCCTAATTGTTTTTGTTGTTGGTAAGTGCTGTTGAGTTGGTTCTGACTCACAGTGATCCTGTATAGGGTTTCCAAGGAGTGAGTGGTGGGTTTGAATTACCGACTGTTTCATTAGCAGTCCAATGCTTATCCTACAGGACTCCTAATAGTTTCCCAATAATTCTACTCTTACATTAGTCAAGGCTGGGTCACCCAGTATTTTGGGGTTTGAGCTTTTATATAATTGGTGAGAGGCAACCGAGTGTTTGCCTGTTGAACAGCAGCCCAGGATAATGGTTACCAAACAAATGGGCTTTGGAGTCAACAGGTCTCATCCAGGAAGCATGCAACTTATGGACTCTGACCTTCAGCCTTCACAGATGTAAAATGAGAAAAGTAACAGTGGTTTCTACCGGTTGTAATGCTTAAATGGAATGGCATATGTAAACCCTTTGCACCATGACTGGCATATAATACATGCTCCATAAACACTCACTAATATTATATGCACTGTAGCATAAGCACTGGACTGCTAACTTCAAGATCAGCAGTTCAAATCCACCAGCTGATCCTTGGAAACCCCATACAGGGTCACTATAAGTTGGAACCAATTCGACGGCATTTAACTACAACAACAACAACAACAACAACAACAAAGTATGCAAAAGTTCCTTTAAGTGAAACATGCAAATGAGAATACTTACTAAAGAGAACAGAGCAAAAGTTATGGCTAAATAGGAGGCATTTATTCTAAGAGCGTGCTTTCCCTTGGGTGGTGGTGGTGGTGGTGGTGGTGATGGGGTCCCTCTAAGCATCACAGTCAGTTATAACCAAGCAGAAACCCTAACAGTACTCCACATTCAGGGACATATACTTTGCCCACTATAAACCCACTGTTTAGAAACTCCACTTTGAAACAACTTTAGGCAGCTTTATCAGACCTTAAGAAAATTTAATAAAAGCTGAACTCGAATACCAATTTGTTAAATATTGTTGGTGTGTACATGGATGTGTCTTATATTAAAATAAAACTATTAAGGACTGTTATATATGTGTCATATTATAAAACAAAACAAAAAACACACAATGAAACTGCCTCCTTTTTTTCCAGGTCTCACAAGTTTTCTGCCTAACAGGGTACAGTCTTACCACTTTCCTGTCACTTGTTTGAGTGGAAAAGATTTGAGTTTTCCTTCTCTGACAGGTTTCTGCCTTACCAGAATTCAAACGTTTGTAGATTTTACTGTATATAATTTTGAAATATATAGTAGACAACTGTCATTTGAAAAATGAAGGTTATAGAACTGTACATGCTAATAACTGTCTTTAGAATTTGCCATCAAGCATCATTTCCTTTTGTCAAGCTATCACTGAAGTTTTATAAGGAATTGTTGTTGTTGTTGTTGTTGTTGTTAAGTGCCAATGAGTTGGTTTTGACTTATACAGACCCTGTATAGGATTTCCAAGGAATGGCTGGAGGGTTTGAACTACTGACCTTTTGGTTAGCAGTTCAGTGATTTTTCCTAAAGCAACACCCCACCAGGACTCCATAAAGGTGTTAAAGGATTAAATTATTTAAAACTTCAAATGGTTAACAAAATAAGAAAACAGCAAAATTTCTTCTTACTAAGGGAAAATGTTTTGGTTAATGATTAGACATAATTATTTACTTTAGTTTGAGTCACTGATAAGACTGTAAGCATTTAAAAAACTGCACCTTTAACAGGAATGCATATCACCAAATTTTATGATCTGTGAAAAGGAAAACACTGCAAGGAGAACCTGAATACACTGGCAAAAGTGACAAGGTCATGTTGAAAATAATGCCAGATAGTTAATCTCCTAAAATTCACACCCAGACCTGAATTCAGGTTCACAATGGAACTAAATTTAGCTAACAACCAAGTAACATTCAGTAGATTAATTGAGTACCAGCCCTGTACCAGTCATTAGTTTCCCTATCAATCACAGTTGAATTATACAATGTGGGGTCATTGAAATCAATATAGTCTAGATCAAAAGAAGAGTTCAAGAATACAGATGGAAAAAAAAAAAATGAAATAAGGTATAAGAATACAGTAGCCCACTTCACTGACAGTGTTAAATCCTTCTATTATAGGCTTTTGTTTTTCATATTTGTATATAGTATGGATTTCACATTTGGAATTAGGGTGGGGTTACAGAATGCAATCTAAAAAATTTCTTCAATTTGTCTTAAAATGGATTTTTTTTTTTTTTTTAAAGGACAGACTGAAATTATCCTCCAACCTGCACATTCCTAATAGGAACTATGAATACTATGAAATATTTTATAATGGGTATTAAGTCTACCCAAATTTACTCACAATTATGTTCCAATGACTGAATTTTACATATAACTGAAGAAGACACTTGTAGTTTTCCTTTGAAATTTTAATGGAAGAAGTCTTTCTAAAATAATTGAGAACTGAGAAAGCCAAGTCAGTTTTCTTAAATGTCAATATTTTTATTGTTGTTGTTAAGTGCCGTCAAGTCGGTTCTGACTCATAGTGACCCAGTTTAGGGTTCCTGAAGAACAGCTGATGAGCTTGAACCGCTGACCTTGAGGTTCAAACCGAATTTGCAGTCCAGCGCATTAACCCACACCACCACAGCAGGACTCCATTTCAATATTAGTATACATATGGGGTGCTATGGGCTAATGCATCAGACTGCAAAGTCATTTGAACTGCAAGGTCAGTGGTTCAAGCTCACCAGCTGGCTCTTTGGAAACTCTACACAGGGTTGCTATGGGTCAGAATCTACTTGATGGTACATAACAACATGTATGTTATGCTGTCATGAAAGCACATACAAGGAGGTGGTAATGGTGTGCTCGGGAGTTGGTTGCGACTCATAGCCACCCTGCATAGGGTTTCCAAGGCTGTAAATCTTTTCAGGAGCAGAAAGCCTCATCTTTATACTACAGAATTGCTGGTAGTACCCAACTGCTGACCAAGAGGTTAGCAGCCTGACTCGTAACCACTACGCTACCAAAGCTCCTTATACAAAGAGGCACTTTATTAAGTTTACAAAATAGGCAAAGTATTGAAGACAAGTTTTCAAAATCATGATGAAATCTATTATTAATGCTGACTTGGACGTAAAGTTGCACTGCTTTGTAAGATGTAAACAATATATAGATTTATATGAAAAAAGATAAAATCACTAGAAACCTCAACAAATACAGATCACCTAACAGAAGTCTGAAGTCCATCCTTTCATTCATGAATTTGTAACTGTACGCATCACACACACACATACACACAAACATACACATAATTTGATTTGTACTGGATGATAGTAAACACACAATTCCTTTATGGTGGATTTTGAGACAAAAAATCATTATGTTTTAGTTGGGACAGACAAGTTTGCTTCTTATGCCCCGATTTTCCCTGTTCTACCCTAGTGTCTCCCTTGAGTGGCATTTTTTTCTTCTTCCAAAAATTTAGAACTCATATTTTGTATTTTTCTATTCTCCAAATAACTGACTCCATGGCACACAACAACATTCTCCAAATAAGCCTGTTTAAAGATTGATCATCAACACCAGTGAAAGTCTTTGCCTATGTATACTCTGACTAAAAGC